TTCAAGTTTGTGCCCGTTCCCTCTTGTCCTGTCCCTGGGCACCACTGAAAAAAGACCAGCCCCATCCTCCTGACACCCACCCTTTCAGTATTTAGAGGTGTTGATCAGATCCCCCCTCAGCCTTCTCTTCTCCACACTCCAAAGCCCCAAGTCCCTCAGCCTTTCCTCATCAGAGAGATGCTCCAGGCCCCTCCTCATCTCTGGAGCCTCTGCTGTCCCCTCTCCAGCAGTTCCCTGTCCTTGTGGAACTGGGGAGCCCAGAACTGGTCCCAGTACTCCAGTTCAAGGACTCAGGGTGGTGTTTCTGTTCCTGCAGGTGCTGGAGCGCTCCCGGGATGTGGTAGATGATGTTAGTGTGTCCTTGCGCCTCTGGGACACCTTTGGTGACCACCACAAAGACCGACGCTTTGCCTATGGCAGGTAGGGGAGAGGCAGAACCTCCTGCAGGGAAGGGAGGGCAACACCAAAGCACAGCGGGGTTGGCCCCATCCCCAAGGTGGACCTTGACCTTCCTCTCCTCGCAGGTCCGATGTCGTGGTTCTGTGCTTCTCCATCGCTAACCCCAACTCCCTGCACCATGTGAAGACCATGTGGTACCCGGAGATCAAGCACTTCTGTCCCCGTGCGCCCGTCATCCTGGTGGGCTGCCAGCTCGACCTGCGCTACGCCGACCTGGAGGCTGTCAATCGGGCACGGAGACCCTTGGCCAGGTGGGACTCGGGCCCCAATATCCACACCTGCCCAAGGCTTTCATAGAATCACAGAATGGTTTGGGTTGGAAGGAGCCTTAAAGACCATCTTTAAGGTCCCTTCCATGGGCAGGGACACCTCTCACCAGCCCAGGTTGCTCCAAGCCCCCTCCAACCTGCCCTTGAACCCCTCCAGGGATGGGGCAGCCACAGCTTCTTGGGACAACCTGGGCCAGGCTCTCACCACCCTCCCAGCAGAGAAGTTCTTCCCCACATCTCAGCTCCATCTCCCCTCTTTCAGGGTCAAACCCTTCCCCCTCCTCCTAGGGCTCCCCTCCCTGATTTCTCCTTCCCGTGCGTCTGAAGGTGGCTCTTCATTATCTCCCCTCTTTTTCAGGCCAATCAAACCTAATGAGATCCTTCCCCCGGAGAAGGGGAGGGAGGTAGCCAAGGAGCTGGGGATCCCCTATTACGAGACGAGCGTGGTGGCCCAATTTGGCATCAAGGACGTCTTTGACAATGCCATCCGTGCCGCCCTCATCTCCCGCCGTCACCTGCAGTTCTGGAAGTCCCACCTCCGCAACGTGCAGCGAGCTCCAACCCCCCTTCCTGCCCCCCAAGCCCCCTCCTCCCATCATCATCGTCCCAGACCCCCCTTCCAACAACGAGGAGCGCCCAGCCCACCTCTTGGAGGACCCCCTGTGCGCCGACGTCATCCTGGTGCTGCAAGAGAAGATCAAAATCTACGCACACAAGATCTACCTCTCCACCTCCTCCTCCAAATTTTACGACCTGTTCCTCATGGACCTGAGCGAGGAGGACCAGCAGAGCACGGCGGGGCACGGCTTCGGGGTGGCCGTCACCGCCGCCGCCGAGAGGATGCTCCACCAAGAGGAGAGGCACCACGGGCGGGATTTCCTCCTCCGAGCTGCTAGTTTTGATATCTGTGAGAGCACCGAGGAGGCCGGATCCGGCCAACGCAAACCGTGCCTTAGAGCCTCCACCAGTGATGGCATCTTGCGGGGCAACCGCTACGAGAACGGGGAGCACGGACTGCGGCGAGGAAGGGACCTCTCTTCTTGGAGCAGGGCTTTCACCAGCATCCAGGAGGAGATGGCGGAAGACCCCTTGACCTACAAGTCCAAGCTCATGGTGGTGGTGAAGATGGATGCTTCCATCCAGCCTGGTCCTTTCCGGGCCGTGTTGAAATACCTGTACACGGGGGAGTTGGATGAGAACGAGCGGGACCTCATGCACATCGCTCACATCGCCGAGCTGCTGGAGGTGTTCGACCTCCGCATGATGGTGGCCAACATCCTCAACAACGAGGCGTTCATGAACCAGGAGATCACCAAAGCCTTCCACGTCCGGAGGACCAACCGGGTGAAGGAATGCCTGGCCAAGGGGACTTTCTCGGGTACGACCCACCCCCAGGGCCGAGGGGGAGGACCATCCACTGTGCCCCATCTCCCTCGGGTTGGGGGCTCAGAGCTCCTTGGCTTTGCCCCATGCGTGGGCGAGGTGGGGTCAGCGGGTGCTCACTCGCCTCCCCTGGGGTTTTTAGTCACACTTTGCATTTCTGGGATTTTTATAGCTTTTGGGTGATTGGTTGGTTGCTTTTTGTTGGTTTTTTTCCCAGAAAGTGTGAGTGTGATGGCCCTTCCCCAGGGCTTCCTGCTCCCCAGCCCGTCTGACAGCTCTGTTTATTTATGGGAGAGCAGCAAAAGTGACTTCCTTCCCTCCCCCTCCTCTACCCCCCCACCCCCCGGGCCCAGATTTTCACAAGGTCATCTGATTTACGAGGAGCAACGTGCCCTTGGTAGGACTTCCCCAGCTTTCCACCACGCACCACGTGGCCCTGGCTTGTGCCGTGGTGCTGCGGGGTGATGTCCCCAGGGGGTGTGTGTGTGTGTGAACCTCCCAGCCTCCCTCCAGGCTGAATTTATTTCATGAGGATGGACCTCGGTGTGTGTGTGTGAACCTCCCAGCCTCCCCCTGGGCTGAGTTTATTTCATGAGGATGGACCTTGATGTCGCTGGCAGGGGACAGATGCCTGCTGACCTCATGGAGAAGCTCTGCTCCAGGGGTGGAGAGCAGAGCAGGGGGGAGGCAGGAGATCCCCGTTGTCCTTCCCAGCTCCCCAAGGACTCGAGCTTGGGCAAGACAGTTGCTTCCTGGGGTTTTTCCCCTTTGTGTCCTGGTGTGACCAGGGAAAACCCCTCAGAAGAGCCAAAGTCCCACCATGGCCCTTCCCTGAGCTCCTCCAAGACAACGGGGGATGCTGGAAAAAAAATAATAGAGATCTTCAGGACAAATTATAGGAAGAACCTACAAATTATACAGATACCAGGCTCTATCCCCTCCTTTCTGCTGTCCCCGGTGTGAGATATTTTGTGGTGAGGGCTGGCTGAAGTCCCCAGGTGATGGGGACGGTCCCGGTAGCATCCCCTCTGCTTGTCCCCAGATGTCACCTTCGTGCTGGATGACGGTGCTATCAGTGCCCACAAGCCCCTGCTCATCTCCAGCTGCGACTGGATGGCCGCGATGTTCGGCGGCCCCTTCGTGGAGAGCTCCACCAATGAGGTGAGGAAGGGATTTGCCCTGGGAAGGTGGGCTGGGGACAACCTGGGATGGCCGTGGGGTGACCAATTGGTGCGTGTCCCGCAGGTGGCACTTCCTTACACCAGCAAGAGCTGCATGCGGGCGGTGCTGGAGTACCTCTACACCGGGCAGTTCAGCTCCAGCCCCGACCTTGACGACATGAAGCTCATCATCCTCGCCAACCGCCTCTGCCTGCCACATCTGGTGGCTCTCACCGGTGAGTCAGGGCATCTGCAGCAGGATGGTGGCCTCCCCTGGCCCCAAGCTGGGTGGCAACGCTGTGCCCCCCGCCGTCACCCCGTCCCAGCCTCCCTGTAACCCTGTGTGTCCTCCACAGAGCAGTACACCGTCACCGGTCTGATGGAGGCAGCCCAGATGATGGTGGACATCGATGGGGACGTGCTGGTGTTCCTGGAGCTGGCTCAGGTAGGACATGGTGGGACAGGGGTAGCTCATGGTGGGACAGGGGTAGCTCATGGTGGGACAGAACCCACGAGGTGCTGAGCAATGATGGAGAGGGTCCAGAGGAGGGCCACAAGGATGATCAGGGGGATGGAGCACCTCTGCTACGAGGACAGGCTGAGGGAGCTGGGGTTGTTCAGCCTGGAGAAGAGGAGGCTCCGGGGAGACCTAATAGCAGCCTTCCAGTCCCTGAAGGGGCCTACAGGAAGGCTGGGGAGAGCCTCTTTAGAAAGGCCTGCAGTGACAGGACGAGGGGCAATGGCTTCAAGCTGGAGGGGAACAGCTTTAGACTGGAGATGAGGAGAGGGTTCTTCACTGGGAGGGTGGTGGAGCACTGGGACAGGTTGCCCAGGGAGGTGGTTGAGGCCCCTTCCCTGGAGATATTCAAGGTGAGGCTCGACGAGGCCCTGGGCCACCTGGTCTAGTTGGGGGTGTCCCTGCTGACTGCGGGGAGGTGGGACTAGATGGCCTTTGGAGGTCCCTTCCGGCCTGGGCAACTCTATGATTCTATAATGTCACGCTCCGGGGTCCAACAGCTCTAGGGGGTGATGTTCTCCTGGCAGAGAGGACAACCAGGTCTGGTCTTGGATGTCCTTGGGAGGAATAGGGTGAATTCCTCCTGCTTCCCTGGTGGCTCTGTCTGACGTGAGCTCCCATCTCTTCCAGTTCCACTGCGCCTACCAGCTCGCCGACTGGTGCCTCCACCACATCTGCACCAACTACAACAACGTCTGCCGCAAGTTCCCCCGGGACATGAAGGCCATGTCAGGAGGTGAGTGGGGAGAGGACCAGAGCAGGGTGAGGGGGTGGTCCTGGGGGGTTCCTGGTGCCTTTCTCACCCCCCATTTCCACCCCCCATCCCTGCAGAGAACCAGGAGTACTTCGAGAAGCACCGCTGGCCGCCGGTGTGGTACCTGAAGGAGGAGGATCACTACCAGCGGGCGAAGAAGGAGCGGGAGAAGGAAGACTACCTCCACCTCAAACGGCAGCCCAAGAGGCGGTGGCTCTTCTGGAACGCTTCCTCCTCTCCTTCCTCCTCTCCTTCATCGTCGGCAGCCACAGCCTCCTCTTCCTCCCCCTCCTCCTCCTCCTCGGCTGTGGTTTGAGAGCCCGTCCTTGCCCTGGCTCCAGCATCCCTGGGAGGAGACGGGGAGGAGGAGGAAGAGGGGGATGACCTGCCCCAGCGCCAGGCGTGGAGGGGACGCCGCCGGCCGCAGCCCCGGAGGACACGGTGGTAGCAGGGGGGGCTCAGCCAGCCCCCCAGGAGCTCCTGGAGCCCTGCTCTCTCCCCACGTGGTGGGGTCCGAAACCCCAGAGCAGAGACCGAGCAGCAGGAGAAACTCATGTTTACAGGAGCACGAGGGCTGCGTTGTGGTTTTATTTTGGATTTTGGGGGGGGGTTTTTTGGCTTTTTTTCTTTTTGGAACATCACAGCATGAGGAAGAAGAAGAAACCCATCCTGCCTCCACTTTCATTCAGAACCAGAAGCTGCAGGATTATGATTTCTTTGGCTGATTGATGGCATCTCACCACCCCAGGCAGCCAGAGCTGCAATGGGGGGGGGGGGGGGTCCTGCCCCCCCCTGGGAGGTAGGGGTGTGGGGAGCCCCAACACTTCGGGGCGGGGGGGGGGGGGGGGGGGGGGGTCCTGCCACCCCCTTTGACTCACAGCAGGGTCAGGCAGGGCACAGGGGACCCCGGTCCCCAAAAACCTCCCCAGGCACTGCAGCACCCCGGGGGGGGGGGGGGGGTCTCTCCTACTTCAGGGAGAGAGAGGGGACAGGAGCCCTCTCCTCCTTGCTTCTAACTTTTCATCTTTTTTTTTTTTTTTTTTTT